AAATTCATTCCCATTGTGGTGCACATCCAAGATCATCATTGAACACAAGATTTGATTCAACCCCGTTAAGTCACATTGATCGACATCAAGGAAGGGGGAAGCAGAAATTGAGGAATCCAAAGAGTTTTGAGCAAAAGCTGGAGCAAGGGTCCCATTAGTTAAAAACAAATTCTCAATGCAGTGATGCATTTTTGTGCACATTGAAATTCAGTTTCTCTTCCAGAAAATGTGTGAATGGGCATTTACGACTTTCATGTTTACTATTAGAAGTCTCCTGAAAAAAATATTTGAAATACAACATCAACATACACCAACCATATAACATGTGAGCTACAAAAGAGCTTCTGATAGCTGAGACAGAAGATACCTGTGCGATGCTCTTCAGGAACTTGGAGTCCTTAACAAAATGAACCGGCTCTTCCATAAGGGCGATGGATAACTCCGAAAGTAGAATCAAAGTACAGGGAGCGTACTCGAGGGAGTTCCAAATTAATCAGGGCCTCAGACAAAAAACAAGATTCATGCATTCTTTTTTCTATATTACGTTAGAAAAAGGCATTAGAAACATACATGTGAACCAATGTTCCCTCTAAGGTTTGCTGGTCCGTGTGCAAAATCATACAGTTGTGTGCAAAGTTTTACAGCATCAATTTTTTTGTGTGCAAAATTTTACAGCCCACAAACGCAAACACACACTCACTTGGAAATTTGCTGCGCGGATACTCAAAACTGCTTCGTGGCGTCTGCGAGATCTGAGCACCAGTGGAACCATCACAAACTAATTCCAGAGAGGTAGTACAGAACAACAACCATCAGGAACTTATAAAGCCAGCCACTGCAGGACCAGACATACAGAGGATATAGCGCTACTTGGTATAAACAGCAATAATATAAGTAAAGCATTCGGGGAACTTGAAGATGTCTCGGGCAAAGCTGGTCTTGAGGTAAATGAAGCGAAGACAAAATATATGATGATGTCACGAAACACGCACACTGATGACAACGTCAATATAAACAAACACGTCTTTGATAGAGTAGCTACTTTCAAATATCTATAAATGAGCACAATGAAATAATGTTGGAGGTGAAAGAAATGATAACAGCAGACAACCGTTCTTATTTCAGCATACAAAAGCTAGTAGGAAGCTAAAACCTCCCTGAGGGAACAAAAAATGCAATATGCACCACTATCATAAGACCAGTAGTAACTTACGCAAGTGAGACATGGTCCTTTCCAGAAAAGCACAGAACCTGCTCAACACATGCATGGAAGAGGAAAATTCTCAGGAATATATCTGACCTGATAATATACACCTTTGTTTGGGAAATTCGTTCATATCAAGAGCTATACCTATTGTACAAAGACCCACCCAAAGACGAAACAATTTTTAAAAAGGCAGACTGCACTGGATAAGATACATTGAAAGGATGCCGGATTTTAGTGCAGCAAAAACGATCTACAGGCAGAAAGCTAGGATGGATCGACGATGCAAAGAAGGACTTACACCAGCTGGGATTTCGCGGATGGAGGCGGAAAGACATGATCGATCCGAATGGAAGGATGTGATGGAGCAGCCCAGGGCCCTACATGAAGACATTTCATAATTTTGGGTGGAAGCGCTAACAATAGCCATAATAAAAGGGACATCTATAACTCTTCCACCATTATTAACAAAATTCTATCAAGTTTGGGGCCCTTAAAGGTATGTCTTTTTTTGATATAGATCCTGCGTAGCTTAGTCTCGCCCATTATATCTTTATAGTCCCTGGAAAATTTTTGATAATTTACATAGTTAAATTTTGTTTTGCATCATTATACACTTAAGTGGAGAGCAACAGGAGATGTGCTATTTAACAATTTACGTGTCACTTGGCCCCAGAGTCCTCGCATTTGCTGGTCCAACAATTTGGAACTCCCTTCCAGTCATATCTTAGAAACAACCAGACATTGGAGTCCTTTAAAACCGATTTAAAGACACATCTATTTCGCAAACACCTTCTGGGATGATTGTCTACCATATCTTCCATTTAATGCATATTGGCTGTGTTGCTTAGGGTTGAAATGGGTAGAAAGACTTTGACATTGTATGCTTGTAATTAGTTTTTGTTGTGTTGCGTTTGTTTTAAATGTGGTAAATTATAGATTTGTTTTTTGTTGACTTTGTACCGTGCTTCGAGCCTTTGGGGATGAAGCGTGTTTTTGAAATAAACTTTATTATTATTATTATTAATAGGTGTGTTATACAAATATATATTTTATATATTACTGAATAGTAATTAGTTTTTTAAAAATAGTTTTTGTGATAAACTACTTAAAAAATAAATGAATTAACAAAAACAAATGTTAATGGATCAAAAACATCCCTTCCAAAAAAGGTATCCATCACAAATAAGAACTGCTCAAATAAAGTTACATGTTGAGCGAAAAAGAGAAACCAAAGGCATAAGTTTGATTCTAAACATTCCCAAGTTTTACCAAATTCAAAAGAAAAAACAACACTCTTTTATAGAAAGGGCTACACATGTTTATGACAATAGAACCCTCTCAATCCCAAGAACCAAAACTAAGACCATCGGTGAACGCTCCTTCTACTTCCATGCGCCCACGTTCTGGAACCAGCTCTCCTTCCACATCCGTCATTGTGAAACCTCGTCCACTTTCAAAAAGTCCTTTAAAACCCATATTTTTAGGTCCGCCTATCACCTGTGATGCACCCTCCTTGCCCTGCCTCATTTTCTGTCTCGGGTTGATCCTGTAGTATAGGCCAAAACGTGCCAAAGTGTACTCGTTTTTATTGCCATTTTAATGTTTAAGCTACTGTTTCTATAGTCATTTTTATTGTAGTTACTATTCGAGAGTCTCTGGTTTTTTCCTTTTTCTTTTACTTTCGCACTTTAAATAATTCACATATTTTTAATAATTGTAAAGCGCTTAGAACTCTAAAAAAAATCCCTAAATAAATAAATAATTAAATTTTCAAAATTGATATTTTTTATAAATCGTATATAACCGGCATAATTATGTTAAGAAGACATGAGTTGTTTACAAAAGACATCTTATATTTATTAATCAATGATTTTATGTGATTTGACTCTTGTTTTTCCCTCCACTGTGTTACAAAATTAGAAACGTACTCGTTTTAATAATAATTGATGAACCGTCCACTATTTGTATGCAAACGTTAGATTCCTCATTTTTGTTTTAAAATATCGTTTTTTTATTTTTAAAGATTCATTTTATCTAACTCAATATACATGGATTGAATCGAGAACATTAAAATGTATGCTAAAAACTAATATTTAAAAGCATGATGCTTTTTATACATTTTATAATTAACACTTATCTCTACTTTAACAGTCATGCTTTTATGATGAAATCTAATTTGAAAACTGACTGCACATGCTTAAAACTTAGCCACAAATATATTCAATGTAAAGACCTTTATGTCGATGTAAAGTTAGTTGAATACAGTGTTATTTAAGTCTTTCAACTTGTGAAGCAGAAAAATATAAATAAATAAAAATGCCAATAAATGCGAAAAATGAAAAAGATAATAAAAAGTACAATTTGGCTTATGATCAGGAGCGGCCAATTTTCAAAATAATACGATATTTATAATCAAATTCTATGAGCCTGTAACAAATTAACCTGAACGATGTGGATCCTCAATATATATCGAATAAAGCGATATTTTATTTGTTTCATTAATTGTAATCCATGAATGGCGCACGTTTCTATTACTTTTAAAAAATGTAATAACAAAAAAATTTAGTACCCGTAGTTTTTTTTTTAATTTAAAAATTATAATTTATTTACATATTTCCCACGGATTCTGACATCTAAGTGCTATTTTTTATTTTTATACTGTTTTTTTTTCCTGTTGTTTTGTTCGCTGACGAAGGTTTCCTGCCGACACGTTCGTTGTTTTGTTGCGTTCCTTTTGTCAGGTTTAACCCTACTTTGTTTTACTCATTTTATATTGTGCGAACCTGATTGCAGTCTCTCCCCTTATTACCCTTTTAATCTGAAGTATTCGTTTTAAAAAATGAAGTTTATATTCAGTCATCTGGTATTTATAATCATCAGTGAGTAAGGGATGGGAAAGGGTGGGGCGGAGGGGGGATCATATTAGTGAATTGACCACCCTCCTAGAACAAATTGTATAAAAGAAACACTGTAAAACCACCTTGGTAATTTGTAAATAATTTTGGAAAAACGAAACAGCCTTGTAAAATTTTTAATCTGGTTGGGGGGGGG